TATTGTATTTGGACAGGAGATTGACGACTGCAAGCTGCAAACAGTGTTCGAACAAGGGGAGAACTAGGGAGTTCGTTGTTCTGGGTGACTTTAACTTTCCAGCCATCAACTGGGAGGCTGGAAGCGCGCCCAGAGGATCCACGGATGAAGCATTCCTACGATGGGTGCAACTACACTGAATGGCTCAACATGTTACGATGCCAACGAGACACCGAGGGGGTCAATCGCCCTCACTACTAGATCTATTGATCACAAAGTGCCACAAGGATATTAGTGAACTAAGAGCGGAGGTACCTCTGAGCTAAAGTGATCATACAGTGATGAGGGCTTTAATTTCCATGCAAAAAGTATTATCCTCAGCAGCCTCCATTAGTTGTTCTGGCAAGCTACGAATAGAAGAAATGAAAAGGGCTGCGGCAACAATGTTCTGGGTGCCCAACCACCCTGACCCTACCCTAGAGGAAGGATGGGGAGCAGCCAAAAACGGACTGCTGAGGCTAACAGCGGAGTTCGTACCGCTTAAGCCATTCAGAGAACAACGACAGCCTCCTTGGTGGCGGCCAAGAGTGAAGAGGGCAGTGGACACCCGGAGGAAATGATGGGTAGCGTACGTCACGTACCGCACCAGCCAGGCATAGGACTGCTATAAACAGGCCCGTTATGAAGCCCAAGCTGTTCAAAGACAAGAGAAGTTCCGTTTCCAGCGTAGGTTAGCCAGGTCGGCAAAGACGAATCCAAGGGGATTCTATGCCTACATACAATCTAAAAAGAGAAAGAGGGAAAATGTAGCTGCGCTTGAAGGTCTGGATGGCCAACTGGCACTGACAAATCGGGAAAATGCCAGGACACTCCTGGAGGCATACAAAGGGATATATCACCCACCACTCGAGACCCAAGATAACCCGGATTGGCAGAGAAACTACAACTCACCGGGTTTATCTGAGCTGTGGGTGGACGAAGAAAATTTCAGTGGAGAGCTACATACCCTGTGTAAATAAAAGGCTGCTGGGCCAGATGGAATCCATCCGGCCGTAGTTCAACCACTGGCCGAAATCCTGGCGCTACCGATGATGTTGCTTTACGCGGTCTCACTCAGGGAGGGAAGCCTCCCTGAAGAATGGAAGACGGCAACAGTGGTGGGTATATACAAGGGTGACCACAGGTAAAAGCCCATGAATTATAGGCTAGTTAACCTAACGCGTTCTATGCAAATGCCTAGAACGCATCGTGAGGCGACAATTATGTGAGCATCTTGTGGTACGCAACATAATAACACCCGCGCAGCATGGATTTGTGACGGGCAAGTCCTGTCTGACAAATTTGCTGCTGTTCCTAAACGATGTGACCAGGAGACTCGACGAAGGCCTTACAGTGGAAGTCCGTTACATGGACTTCAGCAAGGCTTTCAACTCAGTCAGCCACATATACCTGTACCACAAGATGCCAAAGGTAGGCATAACAGGGAGGGCCAGGACCTGGGTGAATAACTTCTTCAAGGGGAGGACCTTCAGAGTAAGAGTTGGCACATGCACTACGGATCCGGCAGACGTGATTACTGGCGTACCCCAGGGGTCTGTGCTGGGCC